TATCACTTTAAAAAAATACTAATTCAAAGTAAATCACAAATGTGATATCAAGTGTATGATAATCAGGAACGTTGATCTTTCCTCAGAAAGCGATGCTGAGGCGTATTCTCTGTGCACACCTCTTTGCAATAATTTGCAATACAAGATATATTAACTACGCCATTTCAGTATCAGCCGACTACCTCAATGTTTATTACACTGGTGTTTACAAGTAGATCTATTCAACTACACATGCACGAAGCAATCGCGAATCGTTACAAAAATATTGATCTATGTACTGAAAATTGTGCTAAAAATAGATATTTTGGATGGATATATTGAATTTTAAAAATGATACATTTTAATTCAGCTCTACTATTTGAATCCAGAGTACCTTCGTCTTCAGACACACTCTAAAAAAATTTATATCCAGCATATAGTATACACCAGTTTAAAAAAATACAAAACTACATCGGAATTACTGACGGCTGACTTTAAAATATCGTTTATCTCATTCATTGGGTACTAAGCATACTTTTAAAATATTGTTTAAAAGCAATATTTTTCAATCCCCCAAAGGCCCAGCCCCAAATCATAGTGAAAATAGATACAGTTTCAACTTTCAAGATTTTCACTGTAACGAACTTGGCCTGCGTCCGAAGTGCGAGCTGTGGCCCTGAACCGGACTAATCGTCGGTATTTTTCAAACCTTGCACAGATCGAGCGTTGATAGTGTTTTTTTTAAAGTTGAGTTTTGATTGAGGGATGCAGCCTTTGCTGGTCTTTGAGAGTGACAGTCGGATTATTTCCTCTCTGATTCTCTTTCGCCTGGGGATTTTTCTTTTAATGATCTGAGTTGGAGAGAGTCGTAATTTGTTAAACGGAAACTCAAGAGTCAAGTCTGGAGACTTAAGACAGTTGAAGACAGTCAGACCCAAAGACTGTCAGACAAGAGAGTACTTTGTTTTAACATTAAAAAATAAAATGGTACAATGTTTTTATTTTCTTTTCTTACTTTTTAAAACTAACAACCTAGAAATTCGAAACCCTACACTGAGTCGTACAGGCTATGTACATTGTAAAATATGTAAATACTATGTATGCGTTGATTGCATTCACCTTTCAATTTGTTTAAAAAATAAATACAAAAAAATACTGTCGTGTTATTTGGTTGTTTTTTTTTAAAATATATCTTATGGTCGAATAATTATGTTCAGGCTTCTTTTTATTTTTAATAAAAACAGTAAATACTTTGAAGACGTTCATTTCTTCGGAAAACTTCAGAAGTTCCGAACTTCAAGGAGAAATGCTATAAAATATTACTCCTCTTACTTCCTACCGAATTCCCAGAGTCCCAGACTCGTGCGGAGTCGTACCTCTCGCGTGAGACAATGATACAAATATGCGGATTGTTCAGCTGTAGACCAATAGACTCATCAGAATTTAAGATACATGTCCCTACTTTTAATACATATCCGGTTCATCTATCCCGTTTTCTTTTTTTTACAACCATTTCTTGAGCGAAGAGTACGAGCAGTACGGGCAACCTGTAGAAAGTGTTGGTGAAACTGACCCTTGTGGGCGGCTGTGGTCTGTGGACAGTGTCCCGTGGCCGCCGGTGGGCCAATAGCAGTATGTATGTTTTAGCGGTAAGCCCCACCAGGCCAGCCCAGGCCCGCTATTACCAGAGGCCTTGTGCCAGCCTGTGGAGAGTGGAGACAGTAATGTGGCCTTACCCTGACGCGGTCGACTAAAGCTTGTGGCTGTCAAAAAGTGTCAACACGACAAGTCAAGACTGTGTTTGTGACTTTGGTCAGTGGTGACTCTCGGGTGAGGTATGAGACGAGCCGTGGGTCCGTGGCCGTGGGCCCGTGAACTGTGGCTATCGTTTTAAAAATTTACTACAGTCTACATATTTGTACAATATTGAATATAGAGTAGTCCGTAGAGGCTCTTCTTAGTTCTGGCAGTCTGTGACTGTGACTGTGAGTCTGCTGTGAGTCTGTGACTGTGAAAGTGTGAGACTGTGACTTTGTGAGTGCGAGTCGGTGAGTCACTGAGTCTGTGTCCTGTGACTGTGAGTCTGTAACTCTGTGACTCTGTGGCTCTGCGAGTCTGCGCGAGTATGTAATGTAAGTGTCCAAGAAACTCTGCCCGGGCCCCTGTATAGCTAGCGAACCTCACGAGTCATGACAACCTCTTGTGAACCAATCAATGAATACCAGATGACATTCAGCACAGAAATATAACTTCAACGAAATACCATATTTAAAATACCCACAACCTGAAGGCTGAAGGCTGAAGTCCTGCACCTCAAGAACAAGTCCTCAACCTCCCCCTTAAAAAATAATAATCAGATTATGCTCTCTCACTGCTCAGAGTGCCTCCGACTCTCTCTCTCTCTCTTGTGTTTATACGACAACAGTGAAAACTTTAAAAATATAAATATGGAACTTTAGAAGCTTCAACAAGAGAAGGACCAAAGGTATTTACATATATAATCCTGTACACAGTGGTATTATGTAATCATTTCAAAAAAAAACTAAGTAATCAGGAATGGAATTACAAAATCAATCATGATCACTAAAGCCTCGTATTCACAGGGACTAGACAACCGAAACGTCTTGTGCCCGGAGAATCTCGATCACCTGATCGCAAAGTTTTCATCCAAATCATTAGTTTTCAAAGTAGCCGTTGACAGGAAATTGTACTATGGGAATGACTGCGTCAATGGCGAAGTTACCATCAACTCAGACCAAGTAAACGAATTGCTAATGATAAAAGTACAACTTTCCTGCCGCATGAGATGGCGATATGGAGACTCGAGCTCGATATACACAATTTACAGAGAAAGGAAAACTCTAGCACTTAAGTATAGATTAGAACAGGGCCTGAACAAAATACCTTTCGCATTCACTTTGCCGACTGAAGTCCTGAATTCTTTAGAGCACAATCAAGTTAATGTTTCTTGGGATGCCAGACTTCTTTCCTATGAGGAAGCAAGCAACATGGACACGGTTGCTTATACCAGGTTCCACGTATCATCATTATACTATTCCAACTTCGTGACCCCCCGAACGCAAGGTGAGATCAGCTCTTTCACGAAAAATACAGTGACGGTACGAGCCGAGGCAAGTCTGCAACAAGATGTACATGTTGCCGGGGAACCCGTACATTGCCATATCGAGCTACTTAAACTACAAGCTAATACTAAAGTGCGCCGCGTTAAAGCCACTTTGAAACAGCACGTGACGTCGCATTTTAAGAACGATCACATGGATCGGACAAGTGTTATTGACACGGCAACCGTTGGTCATGTATCCCGATTATCAAACTGGGAGCATGTAGCGAGGGACAGCAAAGTCCTCGGTATCAGTCTTGATGTGGGTTTAATGGCGGATGTCCCAAAGAAGTTGAAGTCTAGTGTTGCGGTACAGAAACACAAACGGGACCGTATGCACCTTACACCGTCTACGTGCATTTTTGGCACTTCTAACAGCCCTGGTCTATTGGTGTCCTACAGCGTAGAAGTGTGTATTGAGACCAGCACAGGCGCCGATCTAGTACTCTCTGTCCCCTTCACTTTGCAGGGATCCACTGACAACACACCACTCCCTGTGGAGAACCTGGAGGAGTGCTTGACGTTCGCGTTAACAAATGATGAACCACCGATATATGATGATTATATATGCGAATCAGAATCAACGTTCTCTCCAATACACAGTACGTCAATTGAAATCAACGCGATTATCTCCGACAATGATGAATCAGGCGAAGACAAACCAAATAGTCGTTCGTCATTTCCCATTCCAGGCAATCCGTCTCTAATGAAAAGACTGAGATCGTATAGCCGCAGTAAGCCTCGCAAGAAAAAGATCACTATGAATTATGCCCCAGATATCTCAGCTACAAACTTGGTGCAAACCAGTACTTATAAGTCACTGATCTGATGAGGGATCATAATCGAATAAATATAGCGTCCTTTGAAAAATAGTATATACGTATCGAATGACGGAATGAGAGAATCTCTATTTTTGTTTCGTCATAATTCTAGAAAAACAACTTTAAAAGTTTGAATGCGTTCACCTGTGAATATGTAGATAACTAGTATGTAGAGCTTTCTGGATTTATAAATACAAGAAAGCTATGTATCTACATACTCCATGTATTTTTTCAAACTAAATATATCACTTTAAAAAAGAAATCTGTTGGTGGCAAAACTTGATGCAGATAGCGGCAACTGCAGAACAGCGGTGTGCTTCGGGTTGCTTTAGTGCATCTTGCACTGTTGCCATGATTGAACCAGACAATCTGAATAGGTGAGTGAATACCTTCGTTCTATTTTGTTCGACGAAGCTGTTTTTCAGAACCTCGCAATCATATGCCCCGACTCGATAATATATACATTACTCCAAATTGGTTTTTATTAGGGTTTTAGGGTAACTATGACCGAACAAACATGTATGCATAAATTTAAAGGCTATATAGATATATGGATGCATCAATGTAAAGATGTATAAATATATAGATTATGTACCTATAAACCTAGGTATAGATATACAGATACAAGTAAATACAGATGCTCAGGTTTATATA